ATCTAGGAACCATCAACTATACAAACGAAACAGTATAAGTGGCATGGCCTTATTATATTACGGAGTATGACATTTGTAGAATTTTAGCGGAAAACTCGAGCAGCTACAGTAAAAACCTATATATAAATATCCGCTAACAACATTCAATGTCAAAAAATCTTTGCTTTTATAAATGAATTCATCCAAGAATTTGAAGGTTTCATGCAAGTTTGTTGTGTGAGAAATTGCAAGATTGATCCTCAATAAATGTATTGCAATCCGGATGAAAAAAAATTGGTGACACTTTATTTCATTAATTCGTCACTTGACAAAAATATTTTGTACATAAATCTTGAAAATGCAAGATATGGAAAGGACATAACACCAAGATAATACAAAATAAGATATTAACAATAAGCTTCTAACATATATATATATATATATATATATATATATATATATATATATATATATATATATATATATATATATATATATATATATGAGCCGATTCAAGTGAGAATGCACCTTAGTGAAAGAAATAAGAATAAAATCTAGTCTTTGGATTGGATGCATCGTACGGCTCAGATTGCATCTTGCACTCAGATTTTGAGATAGTGCATTTTTCAAAGATTTTGGTGCATTTCGACATGATGCATTTTCAAACCATCTTGGTGCACCTAATTTTGATGCAATCCTGACCCTTAGATCTCACAATCTAAAACACCAGATTCATTCTTATTTCTTTCATAAGATCGCATTTGATGCTTCTAAGAACTCGCGGGAACGAATGTGCCAATGTATCCGAATCCAGCAATAAAAAATGCAACCGCTTGAAGCAGTACATACCAACAATATTGTCGTCTTCCGAAAATAAGGTCATATGTCCCACAGAACAAGAGATATGCCCCAAGAGAGAGCTCCAAAACGTACATTCTGTGACATGAAAAATTGGAGACATGAAAAAATGTGCATTATGTGACATGAAAAATTCTTTCATGCCTGTTTTTAAAGTAAAGATGAATCTTGTTACCTTTCCACAATCTTGAAAGAAGGTTTTCTGGACTCTTTATGGGCCGGTTTCAACTTTGGACCATCCCCTAATTTCTCAGTGACAACCCACTCATTGACCCGGCCCACTCCAAAAAGGCCCATTAAAGTGGCCTTGGCCCGATGAACCGCCATAACATTCTCAAAGAGGATCCAGAATGCCAGCAAATGAACTGACCTATAGAAATAACAAGTCAATTACAACACACACTTATTTATTATGGCTTTGTTTGAAAACATCGTTTTCAATTAGCGTTTAAGTGTCAGATAAAAATTTACTAATCTAGATTAATTTTGAAAATACTATAACTAAACGTTGCAGTTAGATAAACTTCTTATCTTGTATTATAGATATTCTTTCTTTTTTTCTCTATACAAATCACAACCAAACAAGTATTCCTTTATTAAAAAACATATTAATAGCATACGAGAAGATTTTTTTGATATAATATGGGAAGGAGCGAGTAGTATATAAAAGTAATACTTTTAGCACGCAATAATTTTTACACATTCCTTTTTTATTCTTCCCAAAATAAATGTTTCATAACACTTCTCTCTCCTTAATGCAAATTTCAACTATACATTTTTCATTTTTAACACTTTTTGAAAGCTCTGTGAAGTCTAAAAGAAATATTTTTTTAAGAGACAGAGAGAGTATTTGGCCAAAATAAAAACCAAAACATAATAGAGAAAAAGATAGAGATAAAATGAACAAACCTTGGGGTTCCAAGAATATTGAGAAAAGTGATCATAGAAGGCAAATAACAAGTAGTCCAAAGTGGAACATCAACCTCAGCAACCAAACATGTTGTGGGCAATACCAAACAGTAAAACACAAAAGTCCCAACATGAGCAATCACCTTTCTCACAAAGAAGAAGCTGTAGATTATATAAATCTTCTTCCAAAGATTCACATTCTGCACACAAATTGAAGAAAAAAAATGTGTTCATATACATATCAAGATCATAAGATCACGATTCTTTTGACACCCAGATTGAGTGTCATAGTACGACACCGAAATCTTACAGTGCTTTGTCATAGTGGGACCCACTACAAAACACTGTAGGACTCCAAAATGGCTCGGTTTATGACATCGAAAGCCAGTGTCAAAAGAACCAACCTCGAGAAATAATGACATTGTTCAACTAAAGTGAAAGACTTTGTATGGCAAATTTGGTAGAAGGGGATTGACCTTATTTCTCACTATCTCCATCATCATTTTTCTGAAGAGATTTGCAGGGCCACAAGACCATCTATGTTGCTGGTTCCTTAATGCCTTAAATGTACTGGGTAATTCACTCTTTACCTATCAAGTAAATCACCTTATGGCCCATGCCAAACCATCTAGTAACTCTTGTTTCTATGTGTTTTAGAAGGGCTGTAAAAGTAATTTACCCTAACAGAGCTGAGGTACAAAAACTTCCAGCCCTTGAGACTAGCCCGGACCGCCAAGTCCATGTCCTCGACGGTTGTCCGGTGATTCCACCCGCCCGCCTCCTCAATCGCCGCGATTCTCCAAACACCTGCTGTTCCTGCACTCCACGGCTCTCTGATACCATGTTAAGAAACCGACGAAAACCGAAAACTCAATCTTGTGATTGAAGAGGACTCAAAAAGTGTTGGGATTTTGAGCAGTACCATTGAAGGAGAAAAAAGAGTAGGTTGAAGAGCCAACTTCTTGCTCCACACTGAAGTGAAAATTCAAAGACATCTCTTGGAATCTTGTCATCAAGCATTCATCAGCATTCACTGCAAATTCACCCACCACACCATCACTCAACCTATATATGTCACAAACATCATGCATTATAATTAATTTTTAAAATCTCTTAAATCAACTCTAGTGACTTTTGATTTGTCACATTCCTTCTAGTTGAGGAAAACAACAAAAAAACAATTATCTACAACAATAACGACGACAAACCCAGTAAACTTTCACAAAAAAGTAGAGTCAGGTGAAGGTGTGTTTACGAAGAAATAATTACCGAATTTCCAACGGGCTTGAACGAGAGCGAGGTTGGGGTTATGGACAAGAAAGGGGATGGTGCGGCGGAGGAAATCGGGCTCGGGTTGAAAATCGGCATCAAAGATGACAACAAATTCACACTCCTTGACATAACAATGCTTCATCCCTTCACTCAATGCACCAGCCTTATACCCATATCTGTTGTCTCGGATCTCATACTTTATGTCTATCCCATTGCTTGCCCATCTTTGGCACTCCATTTCCACCATTTCCTTATAATTCCCATATTTTTTAACAAAGGGTTAAGGGTAGGTGATTACCACAAAGTGTATATGGTAGGTATAAACAATTAATACACCCTCTTTGCCATACACCAAGAAGTGAATGAATGTAGACTTACACTGCGTCTACATTCATTCAGTCTTTGATGTATCATAAAAGTCATGACGATAGGGAGTTAAATGTGAGTAGAGGGAATACCTTAATTGTGGAGTCTGTTGAATCATCAAGAACTTGGACTATGAACCTGTCAGAAGGCCATGAAAGCCCACACACAGCACCAATTGAAAGCTTATACACCTTCAAATATAAAAGTGATAAGTAAATTGTAAATCAAAGTGAGTTTTAGGGGTAAATGGGGTGAGTAGAGCTTGGGAACCACTCCAAATATAAAAAGTGAAAAGAAAGTATAGTTCAAAAGTGATAGAGCTTTCCAATTGAAGCACATTAGCTTTGGTGCTTTAGGTCATTAAAGTCAACTTTATAGTTTTAAAAAAGCCCAAAACTTTAGTTCAAATAAAGTTAGGTGCGGTTGGCCACGTGATCCAATACTTCTTTACAACAAAACAAAAATGTAAATTTTCAACCGCCGTGCCTTCACAAGAACACCTCAGTTATATTTACCCCAAAGTTGAATGCCATATTAAGAGACTTGTCTAAATTAGCCAATTAGGGCATGGCAATGATCTTTTGACATTGGTGTTTAATGTCATTATATAACATCGAACACCTACAGTTTTCCGTTCGCAAAACTAGTGCTTCTTACCCCGAAAACACCGCCTGCCCCCTTGGATCACGGGTTGGCAACAAAAACTTTTGTTGTCAATCAGTCATTAAGGAAGAAATAGGAGCCAATATTACGAACAAACAATGTAGGTGCCCAGTGTCATAATATGAGATTGAGGATCAATGTCGAAAGATCATTGGAAAATAAGGATTATAACATGAAGAAATCACCCTAAATAGAAGTAAAAATAGAGAAAGTACCAAAATAAAATCTCCGTGTTTAGGGTGATTTCTTCACAAATACTCTCTCCATGAAGTCGACTTTATTTTCAATTCAATTTATTTGATTGTAGGTGTAAAATTAAAAAATAAAATTTACATATTTAAAAACTACATTAAAAGTTCTACAAAACGAGAGTTGACAAGATTATATTATTTTATCAAATAAGTAGTGAAAATAGGTAAAGAAAGTGATTTAAGTTTGACCGTGTGAATAGTAACTGGGAAGATAGTTTTAAGACGGAGGGAGTATTAACTACTCCCTCCGTCCCGGAGTATTCGTCCAGTTTTGACTTTTGACACTGTTCATCTAAACACTTTGACTCATCAAATTATCTCAATGTGTAAGCCTAAATATAGTAATGTGTGATCTTGTTTGATTTGTCTTAACATATAGATTATTAATATATAATTTCTATAATTTTTTAATATACAAATTACAAGATAAAATGGATTAAAGAAGTGTATTGGATGATGTGTAAAAATGAAAGTGGACAAATACTCTGGGACGGAGGTAGTATAAAACATTGAGCAGGACTCAGGAAATAATTTTTCTAGAAATATCTAAAATTCCGGGTACTAATTTGTGCACTATATACTTCATATCTCCGAAAAGAATCCCAAAATGTATTTTTTTTCTATTAAAAAATTACTTTTATACAACTAATTTTTATTTTATCTATCAGATTATATCTATTTATTAATAATTTACCATCACATTTTACTTTTACCATTACATCAAGGATATTTTTGAAAAATTAATGCAAAAATATTCTTAAAATTCCAAAAAAATGTCAAAATTTGAAATGGATTTTGGAAAAGAGGAGTATTAAAATTGAATTACATGCAAGAAGAAAATCAAGAAATATTACGGAGTATGAAGTTAAATTTACTCCACAATTTTCCGGCAGTATAAATGGACGAGGAAAAAAACTAAAAACTGTACAGTAAAATACCTCTTTCTCATTGTACATTGGGATTTGAACGAGAACCATTGGGAAAGAGGCGTTTCCGAGCTCGGCGTCGCCGCCGTCTTCCTCCAGCGGCTCCCACCGGAACCGCTTCTCCGGCGTTCTCCGAGCCAATTTGACAGCGGCAATCACAACCCCCATGTACATCCACTCCACGAACAGCAAAACAGTCGCCGAGCAGCATACGAAGACGAGAGCGTTGAGGACGGCGGGGGCCGCCGCCGGGGGTTTGAAGGATTTGAACTGTCCTGCCACCAGCGCCGGCAGCTCTGAGACGCCGGAAAAGGTCCAGGCACCGGAGAGATTCATCTCCGGCCAAACCTGTGTGGTCCGGACACTTTATTAATGGGTGATTTGATTTAATTTCAAGATAGTAATCAATAGGGTGGCAGTTTTAGTGCAGGGCAAAAAAGACAGTGGAGACAGGGGAGTGAGAGAAAGAAAGAGACAAGAATAAATGGTAGAGTGTGAGTGGATGAAGAAGTTAATAAAACAAAATGCCATTATTGACTTTATTCTCAAAACAATTTCCCATGTGTTATTACAAGGTAAATTAAAGAGAAAAATTATGTAGGAGTGGCTTATTCTTGCAATATTCATCTTTACAATATTTTTTAGACTAAATTCCATAATTGGTCCTTTATAACATGGGGTTTCTATATTTAGTCCTCTGTTATCATATATTACCCCCGGAGTCCTTTTTTTAAAGGCGCCTTTCCACAAATGGTCTTTTTTTATCTTCTGTCATGTTGGTGTTAATTTAAAGACTAAAAATATAATTTGACATCAACATTATGTCTAGTGACGTGTTCTGATATTGGTTAAGCAGATAACACAAAAATAATGACTATGATTGTGGGCTAGGATTCCAACGAAAGACCACATTTGTCGACTATGGTTGTAGTAGAAAACGACTATAATTCACAAACGATGCAAACGGAACAGCCTTGGGAATTGTGTATGACAAAAAAGATATATTATCATTGTGAAATTACACTTTTAGCCCTCAAATTAACACCAACATGATAAAAGATCAAAAAAGGACTATTTGTGAAAAGATACCGATAAAAAAAGGACTACTATGGTAATATTTGATAATAGAGGACTAAATAGGGAAATCCCCCTGTTATAAAGGACCAGTTATGGAATTTACTCATTTTTTTATAACTAATCGAGGTATTTACGATACTCCATTCGTAAAATTTATTGTTTCACCCCATAATCCCCCCGTAAACCCTCACGTCCCAGACCCGACCTTAACGCACCCTTGCACCTCTCTTATTGCAATGCCTATCAGTTTGGTCAAATATTTTACCACAAAGTCAAAAATTTGAAAAGTTGTGTGATTGGAGAAAATGCGAGCGTGCATTAGGGTCCGGTCGAGGTGTAGGGGGGAAACTTATCTTTCTATATTGTAATGATTATCTATCAAATCAAATCTACTGTAGATATTTTATTAGAACTGAATGACTTGATTTCATTGAATATAAACCAGCTAGTTATAATAGCTACAAGATCACCTAACTACAGGCCAATACTGAACCCAATAACACAAGACCTTAATACATTCTAATTCTACAATATTCATATACATCATTCACTTTATTTAACTCTCAGTCCACATTATCTCTATCTCTGTTTCATTAAATTTTTTGTTTTACATCTAGTTGTTTTTCTTCCAGGGTACAACTTTATTAAGTGGTAAGACATATTATGTGGGCTTTGCTAGTGATCTACAGGATGGGAGTTCGAATCTTGGTGGCAATTTTTTTGAATTTGGCTCCTTGTATAATGCGATTTGTCATGACAAAAATCTCTAATCAGTTAAGGCTTATCTCACTATTTAAGTCTTTCAGCATTTCATATGACTCATGGGGTGAGAAATTATTAGGATATGTTTTAGGGTTTAGTAATATTGGGCCAATTGATCACCGAGACCACCACTTTGAACATCACCTGCCGTTGCGTGCGCGTTGATAGGACTGTCGCTACCTTGGTTGGTACTACTACTGCCAGCAGTGGCAGACGGTCGACTGTCTGCTCATCTACCGTTGGACTGACCACGGCCACCTCGGCTGGACAACCAGCGACCCCCGCCTTCTCTTCTAAACTTCTTAGGAAATCCAATCAACCCAATTTAGATCGTCTATTTCATTTTACGATATTTGAGTGAAATTATTTTCAAATCACTTCATATCTTTATTCAGGATGAACTTTAATCATTTTCTACATAGTACGTCCCTTATGAAAAACATTAATCTTTACTATGATACTCGTAATTGAGATTACATTAATTCTCTCATTATTCAGGATGAAGTAAACAATACAAGAATGACCTAGGCAACCTTATTTTTACACAATGTTGTGGAATACAAATTACAAAGAGAATGAATTGAAGCAAAATTACATACAGAGATAAAATTGAATATAATAAATCACTGTACTAATGATACAATTTACTGAAAATAATATATGTGCTCCTCATATTTATATTTATTTATTTTTTCTTGAAAAAAAATATTATTCCCCAATTTAAGCAATCTTGAATTGATGAAATCTCTGCACATTTGAACAAATCCATCTCAGCCAGCCAAGCCATGAATGCATATATGCATGCATTATCCCTCCACCCTCCAAAATTTTCTTGAAGAAGGTAAAAAAAATGAAAAAAACCAAGCAATTATAGCTTAGGGTTTTCATTTTTTTTTGTTGTTTTTGCATGCTAAGAAGTGGGAACAATGGTGCCAACATATCCAAATCCAATAATGAAGAAGGCAATCCCTTGAAGTATGATGTACCAAAAGTACAATTGCCTCCCAAAAAATAGGTCATAGAAGCCACAAAACATGAGGTATACCCCAAATCCAAGCTCTAGTAGATGCATTCTGCACTTTGAACAAATTTAATTATATGTGAATATTAACTAGAAAAGTTTGCCCTTGATGTGATGGAATAAAGTGAATAGTGTAGAGAAAAAGTAGGGATATAATGGCACATTCATCAAAAGTTTTTTGCCAAAATTGGAAACAGGAAAAAAAAATTGGACAGCCCAAAAAAATTGAGAAAGAAATTAATGCACAAAGGGAGTATATATGAACAAATTTTAACCAATTACTTTTCAATACTTATTCTTAATTTGAACGGATAATTTTTTCTTTAGGCGAAGTGAGTACTTACAAGTCGAGTCCCAGATTAAAAACAGGTCAGATCATGAAGTATATATTAAGAATTAATTAGGTGTACCTTTCAGCAATCTTAAAACGTGGTTTTTTGATGGCTTGTTGCGCAGCAGATTTCAACTTGAAACCATCCCCTAGTTTCTCGGTCACAATCCATTCATTGACCCTACCAATCTCCATCAACCCTATGAAGGTGCCCTTAGTCCGATGCATTGCCATTACATTCTCAAACAATAACCAAAATGATAACAGGTGAAATGACCTGCATGCCCATGCCCATCATTTTTTTTCAATATATCGAAAAAAAATCAACGATACGGTACACGAATAGTTAATGCAAAAGCGGTATTTCAATGACCTCACGAATAACACCAAGATTGACACTATCACAAATATTTCATTGTCAATGTTTGTGAAACACTTGCAGTGTCAACCTTGATATTATATGTGGTGTGACTGTAACATGATCCTTATATAATTTTAATCATTAGCAGACCTCGGGGTTCCGACACTGTTGAGGAGAGTGATGACGACGGGTATATAAACGGCGCCCCATTTGGGAATGTTGACCTCGGGCACCCAACACGCCGTCGGGATTACGACGCAGTAAAACATGAAGGTGACAATGTGGGCTATCACTTTTCTCACGAAGAAGAAGCTGTATAGTACATAGATCTTTTTCCAAGTGTTCACATTCTGCATTTTTTGTTCAAATAGTGCATTCTATTAATTAGGAATATTAAAAATAATAGGAAACAAGATATTATTATTACTATTACTCTGTATTACTTTCTTTATTCTATTATTTCCATAATTACTTATTCCTTAATGAATAGAATGATCTCTTGTATTCCATATTGGTGTCAATTGACTATACCAGTTCAATTCCTTATTCTACATTGACACCACTATTATTGGTGTCAATTACTCAATTAGCTATACCAGTTCAATTGAGGATTCTACAAATTACAGTGTCACGTTCGTAAAATTGGTGATACCTAACTACCCACCCCCTAAATTCTTCATCCAATCCCTTCGCTTAATCACAATTTGGCAGAATTAAACTGCGAAATTGATGATTAAGGAAGTGGGGTTAGGGTGGTCTTAGGTTTAGAGTCTAAAGTCAAGTTTAGAAATTGTAATGTGGATGTGAGTGTGACACTTTACCTTGTTTTTGACAATCTCCATGAACATTTTTCTTAAAAGGTTGGCTGGCCCACATGACCATCTGTGTTGTTGATAACGGAAAGCCTTAAATGTGCTTGGCAATTCATTTTTCACCTATATATAACAAAAACTCGAGTTAAAAAATATATACACATACCCACAATACGCACATGAGCAAGCAAGGATCTATTGGCCTTGGAATCCCGGGTCATATTATGACTCAAGACACCTACGATGCTTCGTTTGTAAAATTGATGATTCTTATCCTCCTAACCTCCCCTAAACCCTACCCCTGCCCCCTACCTGCCCACCCCACCACAGCACCCCCCTTGCCCCCCTCTCTATTTTGCCGATTGACTACAGTAAAGGTTTTGGTGGGGGTAGGGATAGGATTTAGGGGTAGAAATCATTGGGTACCCACATATAATTACAACTCTTTTTTTCTTTACACAAATTATATTGTAGAGAAATTTGGGGGGGGGGGGAATGGATAAGTAAATAAAAATTACCATGATATTACCAAGGTACAAGAATTTCCAGCCTTTGAGACTGGCTCTAACAGCAAGGTCCATGTCCTCAACTGTGGTCCGGTGATTCCATCCACCCGCCTCATCTATGGCTGCAATCCTCCAAACCCCTGCTGTCCCTGCATATATTTCGCATTTCGTGTTTTTATCTCCAAAATAACAATTAGAATGTCAATAATATCAATTTATAATACAAAATAAAAACTATGAAATGCGGTACCAATATACAGTGCCAAAAAAACACTATAGAATATACACTATAGTACCCTCTCCGTTTCTAAAAAGGACTACTATTTTGACTAATGGGTGAAATAAATAGTGTAAATTTATAGTTGATTTTTTAATTTTACCCTTGATGTGATGGACAGATTATTTGTAAAAAAGTATAATGTGATAAGTAGGGTAAGAAAAAATAGAAGTAAAAGTAATTTTTTAATAGAAAATGAAAGTGTTTTAAAGAAAAAATTAATAAAAGAGGAAGCGTTCTAAAAAACGAATGGAGTACCACACTAGTTTCACACTCATTTTGAGTGTCATAATATGACATTATAAAATTCCTAAAACACGTTCCTAGACTGAGAACCAGGTCCTACTTCCTCTAAGCCCATTTCACTCCCTTCACCCAAGCATTTCAAGCATTTCCTTGAAATGTTGGGGATGGAAAATTGGGTTTATGAGGAAGATTAGAATTGTAGGACCTGGTACCGGTTCCAACGAAAAAATTGTAGCTTGTAGGACTTCAAAAATAATTCAATGTCATATTATGACACTGAGCAATGGTGTCAAAAAAATCCCTGCCCTTAGAGTATATATGTATTATAATAGAGTGTAATTAATGGGTCATATGTGTGTGCGAAAAAAAGGGCATGTAAATTTATTTTTTATTACCATTAAAGCCAAAAAAGGCATAAGTGGAAGAGCCAACTTCTTGCTCCACTGTGAAGTGATAATCCAAAGACATTTCTTGCATTCTTGTCATCAAGCACTCGTCTGCATTCACTGCATCCCCAAAAATATTTCCCAATTCTTATATGTTGTTTACATAGTAAATAAATTATATTCTAGTCTAGAAATAATAAAATGTTGAATAATAAGAATATAAAATTAAATCTTAAAAAAATCATAAATAATTCAAGTTAGGTAAGCATATGCTATCTTCGAGGCCAATTAATTGTGATGTGATGATTGGTCTGTCCTCCCAACTTTTAGTGGCAGTGTGATACACTACTCTATAAAATACTCCCTCTGTCCCCCGAATTTATTGTCTTAGTTTGATGTCACAGAGTTTATAAAAAGTATTGAAAAATAAAAAGTGAGCAGTTGAAATTTTTTTTAGAAAAAGAAAAAACTCATAGACCACATATTCATTACTCCTATTTTATTTGAAAGAGTAAAGAAATAAGATAATATTTTTTTGACTGCCAGAAGAAGAAAATGATTAGTTCAAGACAAAGAGAGTATAATATAGTATCATGGTATGTGCATGGACCACACAATTTTGGAGTTGTGTTTGGTTGGGTACACACTTATACGTCATTTGACAACTCAAAGTAACAAACAAAAAACAAACGCGGCCATACCACAATGGCCTACCCACCACTCCCTTATTTGCACATGTCTCACTCACTATTGTGTGCCACAACACTAGACATGTCCCCTTATCATCTCAAATGAGACCAAATTTGTGGGGAAATAATTATATATTATTAATATTTTAAAAAAATTTCAATAACAACCATCATCATTATTATGAAATAATTTTAGAATTAACTCATTAAATATCTTAGGAATTCAAAATGTGGGTTCAAAAACCAACAAGTTTCATGTTCCCTCATTTAACTTCATTTTCCTTTGCTTTCACTTCTTTTTAGAGGAAAAAATAATTTAATAAAAAGAGTAAAAGAGATACCGAATTTCCAACGGGCTTGGACGAGGGCGAGGTCGGGGTTGTGGACGAGGAACGGGATGGTGCGGAGGAGAAAGTCGGGTTCGGGTTGGAAGTCGGCGTCAAAGATGACGACGTAGTCACATTGCTTGACGTAGTCCCGTTTCATGCCCTGTTTCAACGCCCCGGCTTTGTACCCGTTCCTATTGTCCCGAATCTCATACTTTATCTCTACTCCTATGCTCGCCCATCTTTGGCACTCCATTTCCACCATTGTCTATGATTCCAAACGCCCATACATGAAAAAGAAGGGTAAAAAGAAAGGTGTGAGAGAAATTAAAGAACACTGAAACTGTTACCAAACACGTAGAATGTTATCCAATTAAACCATTTTACTTATAGTGTTTTAAATTTAGTTTTCACTTGACGAACGAATATTAATCGAATCACATGAAGAGAGATGAAAGAAGGTATTAATAGAGATCATAAAGCTAACCAATCGTAAGAAACTGCCCCCGGTACCCTTCTTGCCGAACGTGGCCTATGATCATGGGAGATCACGGGAAACATGGAGGAGATCATGGAAGATAACCTTTCGAGGAAGTTTCGGGGTATGTTATGTATTTGAAAAACGTAGAAGTGTTAAGTCAGAAGTTGAAAACATTTACTCCTAGTTTTTCTGGGAAATACTCTATGCTAAAGTAGAAACACTTAAAACTGTATTTTCATATCGTAGAAGTCTAAAAGTTAGTTGTTCTCAAACGCACTCTCAAACACCATCTTCGTCTCCTAAACCTAACGTCTACCTCAATCTGTCACTTGGCAGATTCACAACCTCATTCATGGGCCGACCCAGTCCGACCCATTTCACATTCTTCACATCTTCTTACCAAAATGTGTGGGCTTATCTGGGCCGAGTCTATATATTTGGAGCGATCTCAATATACCCATCGACATTGTTAAAAAGTTACACGAAATGCTAACGCTGATTGTAAATGATGTTTCCAAACGAAGTGGAACACTACTACAAGCAAGATGCAATGAATGCTTTAAGTAGCATTAATAAAAAAACAGAATACAACCTAACAAGAGAGGCCGACACACTGCAGGCTCCTTTTCTTCATGTCACGTGTCACTTTCTTTATTATTTTGAAAGAGAAAAAAAACCCAAAAGTCTCATTTTCAAACATATTTATTGGAAAATTTGAAAAAAAATCAAACAGTTATCCCAATGAGCAAACTGGTGAAATAAATACTGTTAAGAGTATCCCACATTGAAAAAGTATGAGGAAAATAATCGGTATATAAGTTCTTGAGTTGAACTAACTAATCGATTGAATTCAATCTTTTAATGTGGTTCAACCCAAGTGTCTTATTGCCTAATCCAGTTGTCCATACCCATCCTAAATTCTATCATGGTATCAATGCAGGTTTTGGCTCACCTCGTTTGTCAAGGTGTCTGATTGGAAGTTCATTTGCAAGTGGTCAACCGGTTAGATTCAAAATGGCCCGGTTGTCCACTTGAGGGGGAGTGTTAGAGTTTATCCCACATCGGAATTTGAATAGAAAAGTTATCGGTATATAAGCTCTTGAGTTGAACTAACTAATCGATTGAATACGAATACGGAGTAGCAAAAAAAAGCAGAAATGAGAGGACGAAAAAATAAATGCGGAATTAATGAATTTACCTTAACAATGGGGTCCGTTGAGTCATCAAGGACTTGGATTATGATTCGGTCGGATGGCCATGATAGTGCACATGCTGCCCCAATTGAAAGCTTGTATACCTGCATATGCATACATATAATATATACACACATTAAAAATTCAACAATAATTTCTTCTATAGTACTCCGTAAATGTTACTACTCCCTCCATTTCATAAGAACTATCAATTATATTCCGTAGTAATTTTTTGATGCATTGAAAAGTGAATCAATGTAGACATAATATATGTCCACATTCATTTATTATTCAATGTATCTAGAAAATGTTAATGAACAGTAGTATAGAAGGGAAAAAGTATCATTTTAGTTGATAACTTTGACAAAAATGTAAACTAATTGGAAGGCTCAATGAAAGGTTGGGGATTTAACATGATAAAGGGTGGGAATTACTTTGTAGTCGAACGGAATATTATATAGATAGAATTACAGTTAAAGTTCAATTCGGTTTTCTTCGATTCAATTAAATTAAACTAAGCTAATGAAATCGTATCTGGACGATAAATTGAAGAGTACTTCTATCATGAACATTAAGAGCAAGAAATGAGGAGAAATGAAAAACCATTTTTTCATGTAGAATACTTCTACTATGGACATTAAGGAGCTGTTTGGCAACTTCTAAATAGGTAAGTGATGAACCAGTAAGAGGTCTGAACCATTAAGTGCTGAACTAGTAAGAGGTCTGAACCATTAAGAGCTAGTATATTGCTTAACTATTTAGAGCCAAATGTCTGATCAATTCAGATAAGAGATCTTAACCATTCAGACTCTGTATAATACTTAACCATTCAGAGGCAAATGTCTGAGCCATTCAGACATCTGAACCATTAAGAGGCTGAAACAAACAGTCTGAACCATTAAGTGCTGAATCTTTCAGACATCTGAACCATTAAGAAGTTGAAACAAACAGCCCCTAAGTTTATATAGCGTCATGGCGTAACCTGACGACTATCAAAGTGGTAGCTAGTGCAAAAGAAAATAATGTTTGATTTCGACTCCTAACAACGATAATGATTAATGAGGGACGATCAAACACATCAACACTTCCACTCACATGATATATCTCACTCCTTATTCGTCTGACCTAGTGTATAATACTATATTTGAAATTACCACTTCCAAGTAATTAATTAGCCGGTTCATTCAGTAGACTCTAAGAATGCGGTTCATCCTTTTTTCTAGAAACATATAATAATAAATGCACTTTCTCACATTAGTAATACTCCCTCCGTCTGGAAATGTTCTTCCCGTGTTGACTTGGCACGCTTATTAAGGAATAGTAAAAAAATGCAAAATTTTCAAAAATGCACATACTATAAACTTTTAAATCTCCTTTTATTATTAAAAAAGTACTAAAAAAGTAGATTTGTGATATTATAGAAGGGTATTATTGATATTTAGCCTTAAAAAGTATACTAAAAAAGGAAATGGGAAGAATATTTCCGGACGGACCAAAAAGGAAAATGGGAAAAATATTTCCGGACAGAGGGAGTAGTAAATAAATTAACAAAATATTTATCATATCATCAATATGAAAATATTTATGAAGTTATCAAAAAAGTCCCATTATTTTTCAAGTGGACCTAGTCTTTCCATAACTTTTTTAATGATATCAAATATGCTAAATAAATTAAGCCAAGAAATAAATTAAATAACATACTATATGTGATGATCAATCATAAGATATTCCAAAATTAAATAGTGTCAATTATTCAAACATACTAGTAATATAATGTACTGAACTAAGAAAGTAGGTTTCTAAAGTCTAAACATAATTAAATACTCCCGTCTCATTTTACAAGTCTTAATTACTTTCATTTGTTGGCTTGTCATACAATTTCTTAACTTTTAAAACTCTTGCAAAACTTTAATATTTCTTCCACTTGTAGGCTTGAAGCATGATTATTATTCCATCCGTGAAATAAAGGTCACTTTTCATCTTTTGGTCAGGATATAGTACGGAGTACTTCATATTTCATCTATTCTAAAATAAATCATTTTTATAGATCATAGTGTAATTGTAGCATAAATAGTGGATCTTTTAGTTTCAAAAAAAAAGTGGATCTTTTACAAAAAATAAATATTTACATTCAAGCCCATAAAAAAAGTAAGAAGATCCACTTTGAAAAAAACTAAGGGTATACCAAAACGGTATACTCCGTTTGTACATTAGACAAACACAGATACTAAGTATCTGTGACCACATATACTTAGTGTCTGTGTTTGTCTAATGTACAAATAGGATACACTATTTTGGTGTATCCCTAACATGGTTCTAAAGTTTTTGTTACCTGTATGGTTTATTTATGATATTTAAATGAAATTAGATTCAATTCACTTTATTTGGACACACAAATATTGCATGTTCAATAAATATACAATGTGTAGAATTCAATAAAAGTTCTAAAACTAATGAAAAGTGTGTGGTAAATTTTTTGTAAAAGGTTAAATATTTTTTCGTATAAATTACAAGTTATTTTTCATGAAAGAAAATATGTGAAGTATGAAATTTATTTCAAAAAAGACAAAAAGAAAATGTGAACTTTCTTATGGGGCATGTATGGATGAGATAAAAAAAGAATTTTGGGAATATTTTTTATTGATAGAATAAAAATGATAGAATATATTCAAAGAAGAAAAAAAAGAATAAACACTTTTTGCAATAATGTGGGCAATAGTCAACCCCACTGTTGACCTCTTAAACAAACACAACACAAACCAACCAAAGGGAAAAACAAATTCAACAAATAATTAATTTAACGAACCTACTCTCCCCTCCCAAAATTGACTTTTGTTTGACCAATTAAATACTCCGTACAAGTTTAGATTAATAACTACTCTTATTACAAAAATTCGATATATCAAAATTAATTTATAAACTAAATTTGATTCTATATAATTTGTGCGTGGTGAAAATCACTAAAAAAAAACTAAATTCCATAAATTGTCTCTAATTCTTAATTAGATATTTCATAAATGATCTTTAATTTTTTAAAATTATTTTATGATCGACCCTTCAGGGACTATTTTTGGAAAAAGTATTCTCTCATATTTGGCCTAAATGACTAATTATGGAACTGTTCTCTAGGATCATTTATAAAATATGTGAAAACTAGAAATTAAATCACTCAAAAAATAATTAAGAGAATAATTTTGAGACGAAAAAAATAAGGAATAATAATAATAATGACCTCTCTCTCGTTGTACATTGGGATCTGAACGAGAACCATGGGAAAAGCCGCATTTCCAAGCTCGACGTCACCCTCCAATGGCGCCCACCGGAATCTTTTCTCCGGCGTCCGGCGGAGCAGCTTCACGAAGAGCATCACCACCCCCATGTACACCCTCTCCACGAACAGCATCGTCGACATTGCCAAGCAGACCCACACGGCGACGTTGATCGCCGGCACCAGAAGCGGCAGCCCGAGCCCGGTAATCTCCCCCCATATCAACGACAGCGGCCCCGACACGTCGTCTCCGGCGACGGAAATCGTCTCGTCGAGAACCAACGCCGCCGTCGACGACAGGGGATCCATTCCTTTTTTAGTAATTGGGTGGCCGAGGGAGTTGAGTGTGAGTATATATAGTTATATATAAAGGGACAGAGAAGGATGGGTTGGATCTACAATGTGAAAAGAAAAACAGGGGAAATTAAAAAGAGTAACTTTCCCCTTTTCAGCGAGTGACTGGCTATACCGCCTATACTATTGGAATATAATTATGCAAAGTGGCCTTTTTAGTTTTTTTTTTTTTTGTAAAAAAGATGAATGTCATCCTTAGGTCACTCAGGATCGGTAGAACAATTACTTGAGAAGAATTAAATTAGATTTAAATTAAAGATTGGTCGAAAAGGGTAGAACTTATCTGCATATGCTACTTGCAGAAGTTTTTATACTTAAGACAGTTGTTACATATCGCAGTTGCCAGAATCAAACTCGACATTATCCATTTGACACTTCTTGACTCCTTATCTTTGTAAACTAAGCTCGGTCCTATGCTTACAAAGTGACCTTTTTAGTTTTTTAATTGGACATTACTAAATCTATTTTATTTATAATAAATGTCCAATTTTATCCTCAAGTTAATCCACACGTTGCCCTTTCTTCATTTTTACTGTAAGGATAAATTTGCTTACTTTTATAAAAGATGTGGATTTAGAAAAAAGATGAACAATTTTAGCAACACCCATTTCAGTTCCATACTCTAAGAGTCTAGACTATAGATGATCAAAAGGACCAGACTAACCAAACCAGATTGATGCTTTCAAAAGACCAGTACTATAAAGAATGAAACTGGTTTGGCATTCTTTTTGAAATTGATTTGAACTTGTCCAGTCTACATAAAAACGTAGAGATCTTTCAGGATCGTATAGTCCAGTTAGGATTGGTCCAAGTCCGGTTTAGTTCTTATATCTTGTTAAGGAATGTAGTAGGGTTTGTCGTTAACGTGCTCATTCTTATTGGGCTCGTAATTAGGTCATGATCATGTAGCTATTATAAATAGCGGATCTATTTGTAATCAAACCATTCAAGTTTAGTTCTAATTATATTTCTACATGGTATCGGAGCCAACCTGGGAACCTAAACCCTAGTTTGTTCTAATTTGTTGCTTTCGCCGTCGCCGTCGCCGGTGATTTGTTCGGCGACGGCGGCGTCACCATCGTTTTCTCTTTACCAATCGTCAAGCTACTTTCTAGCTTTACCAAACCATCCTTGGGTGGTTCTTATCAAAATTATTTATTGCCTTCCAAACATTTAGTCATCGTCAAGAGGCCACCGACTTCTGGCCGTCACTAGTCGCAGGTCAGACGCCAGGGAATCCTTGTCATCTATCGCCGACAAAGTTTGTCTGATTAGTCCCGCTGCTACACGATTCAGATCTACCGCAGCTTCTTGTTTCAAATCCACCGCTGCTACCGTCTCTGTCCGGCAATTCTGGTTGTCGTCTTATGTTCCATCCGGCAATTCTATTGTCCAGCAGCATGGACTTAATGTTTGAAGCAGTCAATTACCTTTGTTAGGGTAAATCAATGATTGCACGGCTCATTCTTGTTGGTGAGATTGGTTTGTCACTTTGTTAAATTTGTTTTGATTTGTTCGTGCTTGGAGGAAGAAGGTTTTTATGTTCACTCTACCGGTCATCGGAATTTGATGATGTTTTTGGCGACATTGTTTTTGGTTGCTATTTGGTATGTTCAAGTGCAACCAGCTGTATGTTCGACATGTTTGTTTGTGAGGTTGGTCGCATAGTCGCGCCTCAGTTCGACATATCAGTTTGTGAGGTTGGTCGCATAGTCGCGCCTCAGTCCGGCAACACGGCCTCCAAGTTTGGGATGCTTGTTAGTCGTCCCCGTGTCACCGCATGGGAGTCATTCATCATCAAAATTTATTGTTCGTTTGCAGGGCCGGTCACCTTCGTTCGTTGTTTTCACAGTAGACCAAGTTCAAGTTGTTTATCAATTTTTTTTTAGTCCTAGTTTTTTTTTAGTTGTCCAAGTTGTGCATTCGTTAACCTCATGCTCAACTTGAGGGGGAGTGTTAAGGAATGTAGTAGGGTTTGTCGTTAACGGGCTCATTCTTATTGGGCTCGTAATTAGGTCATGATCATGTAGCTATTATAAATAGCGGATCTATTTGTAATCAAACCACTCAAGTTTAGTTCTAATTATATTTCTACATATCTCATATGTTAAATTTTACTCCGTAATATTTATTTCATTTAAACAATAAAAAAATAAAATTCTTACATTTGATTACTTATATTTAAATTGTTTTATTTCTATAATATATTGATTTATAATGCAGAGTAACTATTCATGCAACATCGATATTTTTATTTAAAGATGAAGTTAGATAAAACCATTACAAAAATAAATTTTACGGAGTAATTTCTATGTTTTTTGTAAAAATCATAAAGACCGTTTTATTGATTGAATGAATAAGAGAGGAATACAACGTATGTATTTATAGGTGGAGAAATATATTCTAGAATCTTCCACATTAATGACTAATTTATATAAGGTAATATTATATAATAATTACTCTAACTATAATAGGTAACAACCATAATTATAATATATAATATTAAATATATTAAATAATTGATATATTTAACATGCTCCCAACGTCCTGAACGATGAAGATTGAACGCCAACTTTAAATTGAATGATGACCGAAATCGTGATTAGAAACTAGAGACATATCTTCGACTAGAGCAGTCTGAATGCATCCGGACCATAAGAGAAGAAGAAAGATTGTTGAGAAAGAAATGTGTCTGCTTTGAGGAGGATGGGAGAAGAGCCGCTGCGGACAGACTCATGTAGCTGACGTCGAAGAAGGGAGAAGATTGACGTGCGCTGGAGTCGTGCGCGACTGGGTTAGAGAAGAAACACAAAGAATGAGGTACTGCCGGAGATGCATGTTGACTGAAGATCTGTCGACTAAGTAAGTTGAGGTGATGATATGATCTAAAATCAGGAAGCGGTGGTGATGGATCTGGAGCCAGATAGAGGAGTATGGCATATCATTATTGGAGGAACAAGTGGGGGTGAGGCCACCGTCGCCGGATATATCACCGGCGACAGCGGCGGAGGAAGCGGATTGTATTAGGTCACCAAGAGTGAAGACTCTGATACCATGTAAAAATCATAAAGAATGTTTTATTGATTGAATGAATAATAGAGGAATACAACGTATGTATTTATAGGTGGAGAAATATATTCTAGAATCTTCCACATTAATGACTAATTTATATAAGGTAATATTATATAATAATTACTCTAACTATAATAGGTAACAACCATAATTATAATATATAATATTAAATATATTAAATAATTGATATATTTAACATTTTTACATTTAAGATTTTTTATTTCATTATTACTTATTTCTAAATAAATAACAGATGTAGAGTATTTTTCTATATATTGATTGTATAAATGTATTTATATATAAATAAATATTTTGTGTCTAAATTTTTGTTTATTTGAGTGCCAAAGACCTTATATATAATTATATAGCATCAAGAAGACTCTTCCAAATGATATGCCACATGTTCAATTCTCAGTGATGGCGATAACGCTCGGTGCTTCAATAGGCTGAGAAAGTATGTATGAACACATACCACAATTGTAATTGAGTTTTTACAGCATTGTTCGTTTCCGTTCTAACTCTTAACTTTTAATATTTTTAAACCCCTTTCAATTTCTTCGGATTCATTCTATTTCTTCAACAATTTTTAAACTTCTTCCAAAAGTAACTTAAAAATATTTAGGTGTATTTTCATTTATTATTATTGTTGTTATTATAATTATCCCAATATAATATAAAATTTATTTAATGCCACAACTTGATTAAAAAATACCCTCGAGGAAAATTTTAGTTACTATTATAAACTCAACGTAAATAATTAAAATATTAAATAAATTAATTTATAATTCTATTTATGATTTTGAAATTCTCATTAAACATTTATCTTTGAAATATGTAATAGTCAATGTTTTAAAATTTTGACTATAAATTATACTTCGTGTTTTAAAATTTTGAACAAAATAATTATGCACGCTATTTTCTTTCATAGTGAAATGAATGCTCTAAAGTCTAAACTATGAAGTATATGTGAATAAATAATTCTGTGAAATTAATACCGGAGTTTTTTTAATTTTTATATGTGCAATTGACCTCGTTTTATTGTTTTATCTGTCTCCTTATTTTTATCACATGAATTAGTGACATACAAATTATATTAAGAAATGAAAAATTATACAACTAATATTAATTTTAAAAAGTGAATGAAACATAAAATTTATAAAAGAAATATTTCAACCTGTTTTAGTTTTTTTCAATACTTTTTTTCTAACTCCTTCTAGTTTCTTCCAAGTCATTCACGTTCCATCAACATCAAATTCTATGTTTACAACTGAAACGAAGAGAGCCTGAAAGTAGTAAAAAAGAATGTTAAAATGTACTACTCCATCAAATTTAATAGTTACAAAGTAGGAAGTAAAAAAGGAGAGTAAAGATTCTAAATATTCCTGGATAAGAGTAAAAAACATGAGAATTTCACAATACGAGTCATAAATCTTTTAAGACTAAAATAAAAGTATAATTGCAATATGATATAAGAGTACGCGTTGGCACTGTGATAAAAAAGGGATGACAGTGTATGACGACAATGTGATCAGTCAAACATCGGTGATCCGCAACGACACTCTGTTGACCAACAACGATGGATGGCAGTGCATGAGTGATAGTATAGCAGTTGCAGTGTAACAATATATTGAATGTGGAAGTGTAAGTAGGAATGACAATGTGAACTCTTATTTTGTTTATAAAAGACTTCTGTCTACTATTTTGGTATTTCCTTACTTTTCTTTCTCTTTTTCAAGGAGTTTTCCAAAGATTAAATGTGGGAATATTAAACTATGAGTACTGTTGTGCTAGGATAACCCTAAAATTTTGACACTACCACCGGCTTAATGCTTTGTATAAATACGCACAAAATAATACATATTGGTGCGGCATCAACAGTTATTGATTGTTTGCAGGGCCGGCCCTGATCGAGGATTTGAGGGCCCTAGACAAGACGAGAAAATAGGTATTATCCTTAACAAATTAAACTATATAAACTGTTTTTTAAAATGACAATTACTATTATAGTAATACATGTAACAAAATTTTAGTACAATAATTAAATATTGTAATAGTTATCTTAGAGTTTTAAGTTATCTTAAAAAAAAGAATTAAGTTTCTAAAAATTTTAGTTTAAAAAAAATATAGCATATTTTTAATAGTTAAATATGTTGGGCCTTGAAAAAAATAAACATGAGCCGGTAGGGCACCGTGATTCACTCTTGGGCCGATCT